ATGAAGGGGAACGTTACGTTACCCCATAACAAGGGGCAAAAAGATCACTTAGCTCTTGACTGTTTTAAATGATCAATCATTCGTGGCAAAGTGCAAGACAGCGAAAGCATGACTCCATGCACCCCTCATCCAGTTTTAATTGCATTAACAATTATATTCAAATTATTATAATTAATAAATCATCTTTATATATCCCAGCTTAATTAAGCATGACTCCATGCACCACACATCCAGTTTTAATTGCATCTAATTGCATTAACTATTATATTCAAATTATAAATAAATCATCATCGTCTTAATTATACGCGAGCTTAATTAAGCATGACTCCATGCAACCCTCATCCATCCACTTTCTTTTTTAGGAAAAAAAAAAAAACAGGGGTGAAGGGTGTGCTTGGAGAGTTGGAGTCATCCACTTAATTTTAACTAGAATTTTCCGGCCGCGCTTCGCGTGTGGCTGTTTTATTTTATAAATTCTTTTAAGAAAGATCAGTTAAGAAATTTTATTTTATAAATTCTTTTAAGAAAAATTCAGTTAAGAAATGAAATTTTGTTATGAAATGATAACAAAAAAAAAGCAAGGGAGTAGAATTGAAGCATGGAAAAGACAAGAGAATAGATAGACAATAGAATATGAAGAAGAAGAAAATATGAAGAAGAGGAGAAATTGTTCTCATTCGTCTTATTACATAACAAAGTAATTGCCATATTTATAGGCACATAGATACATCACCATAAATATAAGGGGATGAACTTAGTACATAGGTATATGTATATGGATGAACCAAGTCATCAATCTTATCCATGCTTTAATTAGATTCATGGAGATCCACAACATACATGTATATTCATAACAAATTTATAATTAATTTATAATTATTTGATAATTTATTTTATATAGGAAAGGGGATGAATGTCTTTTAATTTTTCCAAACTAAATAAATAAAAATATAATAAATAAAACATTAGAAAATTAACTATTGACACTTGTCAAAGAAACAAAATGTCAAATGGCACTCAATGAGGGTTTTGTACATAAAATTAATAGTAGGTTAAATTTATTTATTTATTTATTTATGTAATCAAACACATGCATGATCTCTCAGCAGGTTGTTATTATTAGTTTTTTTTTCTTGAAGAAAATGTAATTGTTGAGCCAAAAATCTCTTGCTAGAGTTTTTGCGGAAAATTCTTAATAACAGCATAGGGACGTGCCAGTCAATTTGTTGAAATTGACAAAGAGGTTTGTAGAAACTAGATCTGGTGCGCGGAGCAGCAGATTAAAAGATCAGAGCGATTTGTGGGGACTGGATCAAAATCCCACCGGAATATTTAAATCATTGGATCCACAAGATTGACTTCCTAAATTTGCATTGCAAGAACTGTTGTTGATTAAAATTGAAAGAAAAGAGCAATTTGATTGTTATTGCTGAGAGAGAAACAAGAGTACAGTGTTTTAACGTCCGGAGACAAGATTGAAACAAGGAAATAACACTTCTAGAGTAATCTTTTGTCCGCAGACAAGATTGAAACCAAAAAATGTTGAAGAACGAGTAAGAACTCGTGAGGAACAAGAGAAAAAGGCGCGGAGCCTGAGAGAAAATAAGCACGGAGCTTGGTTTTTTTGCGCAGAACAAGTTTGTAGCACGGAGCTGGTTTGTGAGATGAGTGATATCTGCCTTGAAGCTCTGGAGTTGATCCCTTTATATAGGGGGCGGCATGGGCCTTGAGTTTGATGGGCTTTACTTGCTGAGGAAGGCGAATTCCCTCTGGCTAGGCAGATGGCAACTCCAAGAAGGTGTAGTGAAGCTTCCTTCTTCCTCTGATTGCTTCCAACAAGTGAGAGGAGGGTGGAGAGGAGGTTAGGACGTCACCCTCTGGTATGGGAGACGGAAATTTCCCTCTGGTATGGGTGATGGGCAATTCTCCTTCTGCCTTGTCAGACTTCAGTATCCTTCTACTACCTCTGTTGAGCTGAAATCACCTGATTTGGCTAAGAAGTGGCCTTCTGACATCAGGACTTAGAATTTTATCATCAAAGCCACGAAATTATATTTACTTAGCCATATTTAGCTCATCAAATCATAAAAATATCCTTCAATTAAGAAAAGTGGCTAAACTAGGGTGACAAAGCCACTTGTCCTTAACTGAAAGAGTGCAAAAGTTGCAAACGAGCTCGGATTAAGCCCAAACTTCACCAGTAGGGTTCAAATATCATCCAAAGATCATGGTATAAATCTTGGCTGAATTCCAACTCTCCTTCATGGTGAACTTGGTTTCACACCCCAAACTGTCCTTAACTGGAAAACGTGCATAACTTTTTCATCTTAAGTCTGGTTGAGCTAAAATTTTGCCAAGGGACTTATATTATGTCCATAAAACTATGGAAAAAATTCTAAGTAAAACTGAGCTCTCCTTGATGGTGAACTTGGTTTCTCGTCCCAAACTGTCCTTAACTGAAAAACGTGCATAAGTTGTTCATCTTAAGTCTGATTGAGATGAGATTTGGCCAAGATGATCCTCATGACTCAAGGATCATCAGGGCATGCCCCCTTGTTGGAGACGCACCCCCTAGCTAGATCAATTTCCTTGATTTCGCCCTTTTGTCCTTAAATGAACAAAATGTAAATTTGCCTCCCGGAAGAAAGCAACTAGATGGGCGGCCTGACCCCTATGTTAGAGTGATCATGTATGAGGGATGTGAGAAATAAAATCCCACGCCTCCCTTCGTTCAGTGAGTGTTTCACTTGCTGACAAATTCTTGCTCTCTACCTCCTCGGTGTAAGGGGTGAGGAGACAGCTTCCTGAGAGCAGGGCAGCCTTCCCTGGGCACAGGGAAAGACTTAGACTTTTAATTCCATGATATATTTTCCATCTGCATGGTTAGATGGCATACAACTTCCCTTTTTATTGTATGCCTGCATAGCTGACAGCAGTATCAAAGGAAATTGCTTCCTTGTGACCTATCTCACTACATCCTTAGGCAAGGGCGACATTCAAGGGATAATTAATAATAATTATTATGAAAAATAATTATTATTTAATATTTACTAATTAATTTTGGCCTTTATTTAATTAATTACAAGATTTTCCTAATTCTATCAGAACTAGGGTGGTGCAGAAACTAAGTTTTTTCAGGATTTCTAATTAAATCTTGACCACACATCTTAATATTATTCATGTGAAGACCAATTTACCCTCAATTGTAAATTGAGGTATAAACAGTAATTTTCATTCAACAAAATTAAATTACATCGATTGTTCATAACATAAATTAAAATAAATTGAATTTCATAATAAACGTCTTGATCTGGATTTGCCATCATGATATGAATGCTCTAAATGAGTTGGGATTTCGAACCTTTCCCATGAGAGTCTGCATGCGCGACACCTCCTCAATTTCGCTTTTGTGTAATTTTATTAACAGTGATTTTTTTCAGTTTTCAGCAACGACAAAATAAATGATCTGAAAACCTATCTAATTGATCCAAAAATCACAAAGAAAACTTATGAGGGTGAAATTCACAATTTATTGTAAACTCAAAAGACACCATACAAACTAAGATCTGTGAGACTTTATTCTACAACTAAAGAAATAATAAGATTTTTTTAAAAAAAAGAAGAAGAAGAAGAAGAAGCAGCTAGCAAAAATCTTATTGATATCCAACTATTTTTATTAGTTTTGTTAATAGACCGGATTCGTAACCACACACACAAACATATATATATATATATATATATATATATATTTATAAGAAGTCAAGTTCCTAATGCATAATCCATTCAAAGTTTCTAACATCAATGTAGTCAGAATTATGGAAAGAGCCAGGAGAGCTAAGAGAGAAGATTTTCACGATGAGCACAGACGTGGACGGCGACAGAGCAGGGAATCATTCCGGTGGAGATTAAGTCTTCAAACAGTATGTGTCAGCAATATTGACTACAGAGTTCCTAGAAGGGAGATTTGGGAGTTGTTCAATGAATATGGAGTGGTTGTCGATGTCTTTATGCCGAGAAGAAGGAATAGTGTCACTAGCCATGCCTTTGTTAGATACCGTTTTTTTTTTTCGAGGAATTACAAAAAGCCATTTCTTTTGGCAATGGAAGAAGACTTGATGGTCGACCCTTGTTTGTGAGGAAAGCTACTGCACGAAATATTGACAGAGGCCCAGAGGTCAGAGGCAGTTTTTTTTTATAGAAGAGATGATTGTGGGAGCAGAGTTAGAGTTAAACCATTAGACAGGGGTAGGAGGTTTTTTAGTAATGGTCGATTCAATGAGAAGGGGAACAGATTCAGTCACAGGCTGAGGAATAATTCTGTTGAGGATCAACTTAAAGAAAGGAAGGGGAAGGGTGTCGCACAAATTGTTTCGGAGCCTTCTAGCAGTAAAGTGGACAAGATCCATGACTATGTTTGTAAACAGCCAGAAGGAATACATAACCAGACTGGGGACAATGGTGTTCCATCAACAATTGGAGAGGAAGACAATTATATTCAAGCTGAGAAAGGGCAGGATTCTGTTCAAATTAACGATGAACCGAATGATGGTTATGCCTCGTGTGAAGAAGTTGACCTTCTTTTTGATATTCTTGATGAAGATATGCAATGGCTGGAGAAAAGTGCTATCGTTTTACTTAAATCCAATGTCAATCCTTTGGAGATCATGGATCTTATTAAAGATCAGGATTGCTCGGTGAAGGTGAGTTTATGGAGCAATTTGATGCTCATTCTTATAGTCGAGGAGGAAGCTTCTTTGGGAAATTGTATTGGCATGGTCAAGAATGCCTGCCTTGATTGCATTATTGAAATTGCTCCTTGGGATACCTTCAATTCTCAATGGAGTGCTTTGGTAAGGATCAACTTATCAGAGGTTCCTCTTGAGTTATGGCACGTCAACTTTTTCTCTGCTTTAGGCGATCATTTGGGGAAATTTATTCAAATCGATTCTCAAACTTCGAATCGAAAGTGCTTTGTGACGGCAAGGCTGCAAATCCTGGTTTCAAGTCTTTCTAACATTCCAAAATTGGTGGTAGGGAAGTCTTTAGGCGTTAATTTCAAAATTCCAGTCTCGGTAGAGACGATGCCGCTATTGAGATCGACGGTGAGGGATGGATCTCCGGTCAGGCTTCCCCTTCAAATTTTGAATTGTGATGCCCCTTCATTGACTGCCGACAAGTACGTTGGGAATAAGCTGTTGATGATTAATGATGTGGACAGCGATAAGGTCTTAGAGTCGAGGGAGGCGGTGGAATTTAATGATGAGAGCAGAACAAAAGTGCTTGATGAGGAGATCGTGGGCGAGAGTTTGCGTTTCTCTAGGAATATGGATGTTTCTTTATTTAATAATAAGGATTTGGCTGTTCATAATTCTTGTCTACCAGATGTGTCTGATGAATCTTTGGGTAGGTTTGTAGAGGAACCCAACGTGTCTGACCCGGGCCCACATTTTTGCCACTCCAGTTCAAGCCCAACTGTGGATAGCCCAAGTGCAGATATGAGAAGTGAAACCGGGCCTTGGAGAGAGGATGGGCATAGAGCTATGGAGTCTATTGGCAAAAGACTTAAATGGAAGTCTTGTCGTATTTGGGATAGGAAGAAGAGGAAAAAGAGCAAGAGAGGGGTTACTAAAATTATTCTAGGTGAAGAAGCTATTATCGACTTTGATTCAGGAATTTCCTTATCTGACGAGGATATTCGGATGAGGAATGAGATTATATACCGAGAGGCGGAGAAGACGTTCGATGTTAGTTCCGATCTTGGTCTGCAATTTTGTGAAGAAAAAAGTCAAATTGTCTCAAGGTTGGCTGCTTTTGACAGAGATGAGTGCTGAGAGTGTGGTCGGTTTCTTGCGGGGTTTATTGCTTTATGAAGATTCTTTCTTGGAATATTAGGGGTTTGGGTAGAAGAGAGAAAAGGAAAGCAATGAAGTCGCTGGTAGTAAGGTGCCAAGCTGATTTTTTGTTGTTGCAAGAATCGAAGCTGGAGAATGTCGATGATAGAAGTTTGAATTCTATCTGGGGGAATAACAAGTTTGAGAGTAGGGTGGCTCCTGCGGTGGGACCGGCTGGCGGGTTAATCTCAATTTGGGATAAAGATTTTTTTGATCTTAATTTGGCTATTGTGGAGAATAGATACATCGTGTGTGTTGGGAAGTTGAAGTTGAATGGGGTTCAGTGTTTAATTGGGAATATATATGCGCCTAATGATGAACAAGGCAGGCTCATTTTATGGCAAGAGATTAAAGATCTAAAGGAGCAATTTGATTTACCGTGGATACTAGGAGGTGATTTCAACACGGTGCTGAAGATGGATGAAAGGGAAGGCGCTGCTCCTAATACTCTTGGTATTAGTTCTTTTGGAGATTCTGTTAATGATATGCAGCTTGTGGATTTACCTTTGTTGGGTGCCAAATTTACTTGGGGCAGCAATAGAGAAATTCCTTCCTTTAGCAGACTTGATAGATTCCTTGTTAATTCAGAGGTTTTACTTTGTTTTCCGGATCTTAAACAGAAGGCTAAGCCGAAATCTCTATCGGATCATAACCCAATTCTTCTTTCAGTGGATGACACAAATTGGGGTCCAAAGCCTTTCAAGTTCTTCTCACATTGGCTAGAGCAAAAAGGGTTTCAAGAACTTATGAGTAAGGCGTGGCATGATTTTGAGGTGGAGGGTAATAGCGATCTGGATGTTCATCAAAGGCTGATATTGTTGAAGCCCAAAATTAAGGAATGGAATAAATAATTTTGCAGAGCTGATGTCAAAAAGATTGTTTCTTTGGAGGAAGAAATTCACGATACTGAAATTCAATTACAAAAAGGTACTGTTGAGAATGATCTGAAACAGATTCTTGTGGAGAAAAAAGCAGAGCTCTGGAAATTGTATAGATTGGTGGAAAGATCATGGCAACAAAAGGCGAGGATGCAGTGGTTGAGGGATGGTGACAAGAACTCTAAATTCTTCCATTTGGTGGCTTCAAACAGGGCTAGAAGGAACCATATTGAGAAAATTGAGATTAATGGCAAAACATTTGTTCATCCTGAAGAGGTCAAGGAAGGTATCTCTTCTTTTTTTGAAAAGTTCTATAATCTGCAAAGTGCTGCAAAAGTAATCGAATTTGATTGTTCCTTTAAGAAGCTTTCGAGTGAGAAGGCAGTGTGGTTAGAAAGGGTTATTGATGAAGTGGAGCTTTGGGATGCCATTAAAGCTTGTGATGGGAATAAGGCACTTGGCCCTGATGGATTCAATTTGAGCTTTATCAAAGATCAGTGGGAGTCTATAAAAGCAAAGTTGCTTGATTTTGTCAATAATTTCTGTTCTGATAGGGGTTGCAATAGCAATTTCAATAACTCTTTTGTCACTTTAATTCCAAAATGTGATGGAGCATCTAAAATTGAGCAGTACAGACCTATTAGTTTGGTGGGTTGTCTTTATAAGATTATTGCAAAAGTGTTTGCCAGAAGAATTAGATCTGTGATGTCTGAGGTTATTGGTGATTCGCAATTCGCTTTCATAAAGAGTAGGCAGATCCTTGATTGCTCCCTTATTGCTAATGAGTCAGTGGATGCCATGAAGAAGAAAGAAGAGGGCGGTGTTTGCTTTAAGGTGGATTTTGAGAAGGCTTATGATAGTGTCGATTGGAACTTTTTAGAGTTTATCATGCGTAAAATGGGTTTCGGTGAGACTTGGATCAAATGGATAATGAGATGTGTTTCCACACCATCTATTTCCATCCTTATTAATGGTTCGGTTGGAAGGAATTTTTCTACTTCAAGGGGTCTGCGCCAAGGTTGTCCATTATCTCCGTTTCTCTTCAATTTGATTGAGGAAGCTTTCAGTCTTTTGATTCATAAAGCCTGTTCTCTTGGGTTGTTTGAAGGAGTTAAGGTGGGGAATGTTATGGTGTCTCACCTTCAATACGCTGATAACACCTTGATTATGTGTAAAGCAAAAGGGGAGCAAGTGAAGAATGTGAGAAGAATTTTAAGATGTTTCCAGCTTGTGTCAGGATTGAAGGTTAATTTTGCTAAGAGTAGTTTGATTGGGATTAATGCTAATCCTGATGTTATTAAACAGTGGGCGGATGAGGTTAATTGCAAAGTTGGTTCTCTACCATGCTCTTATTTGGGCTTGCCTCTTGGTGCAAGACCTAATGCTGTGGCTATATGGAAGCCTGTGATTGAACGCTGCCAAAAAAAGCTTGCCACTTGGAAGGCTCGCCATCTTTCTACTGCTGGTAGATTAGTTCTCATCAAATCAGTCTTTGCTAGTTGCCCGGTGTACTTCATGTCCCTCTTTAATTTGCCTTGTGCTGTCAAAATGGAACTTGAGAAATTGATGAGGAAATTTCTTTGGTCAGGTTCAGATGACAAAAGAAAAATTCATTATGTGGATTGGGATACAATATGCAAGTATAAGGAGTTTGTTGGTTTGGGCAGCATTGATTTGGGTTTGAGAAATAGAGCTTTGTTAAACAAATGGTTGTGGAGATATGGGAATGAACATGAGTCTTTATGGCACAAAGTGATCATTGGTAAGAACAAGTTAGTTGATGATTCAATTATCCCATCCGGTAATATTAGACATTGCTCTGCAATATGGAATGCCATCTCGAAACCTTTGAGAAGTGGTGATAGTTTGTCCTTGTTCACTAAGAGTGGCTTGATGATTTCAGTTGGTGATGGGAAGAGAGTGAAGTTCTGGGAGGATAATTGGGTGAATGGCTTAATTCTTAAAGAAGCATTTCCTAGAATTTTTGCATTGGCTGTTTCTAAAGTTGGGAAAGCTGTTGATTTTGGTTGTTTTGAAGGGAATGCGTGGAGGTGGAAGGTTGAGCTTAGAAGGAATCTCTTCGATTGGGAGAATGAGTAGTGGGAAGATTTTCAATCTACGATTGCTGATTTCCATCTTGTTGAGGAGGCGAAAGACAAGCTTGTGTGGACTCGTTCTTCCAGCGGCAATTATTCTACAAAATCATTTTGCAAGTCTCATTTTTATAGCCTTTTTATTCCTGATGAAATGTGGAAGTTTGTTTGGATTGGTTTGGCTCTACCAAAAGTGGAGGTTTTTGTATGGCAATTACTAAGAAAAAGAATTGCGGTGAAACATGAACTCTTCAAACGAGGATTGATACAATTGGACTCTACCTTATGTGCTTTTTGTGGCAAGGATCTGGAAACGATGGAGCATTTGTTCTTTGAATGCTATCTTTCATGGAGAGTGTATATGCTTTGTTGTAACCTTTGGGGCGTCAATTGGGTGGCTCATAAAGAACCTGGTAATCTTGGATTCAGAGAGAATTAAGATCTGGAGGATGGTTTTCTTTGCTATTTGTTGGTCTATTTGGCTCCATCACAACGACATCGTTTTCAATCGGAAGATGTTGATTTGATTCAATTGATTGAGGTCATTAAGGTGAGGTTAATGTGCTAGATTAAAGCTTCTTGGCTTGATGTTGATAGCTCCTTTTTAGATCTGAATAGATTTCCGAGTGAAGCAAGGATTTTGCAAAGCTCAAATAGATTGGCCAGGAACATTATATGGAGTACTCCGGAGGGGGCTTTTTCAAATTTAATGTGGATGGGGCTGCTCAAGGCAAACCTGGACCAGCTGGTACTGGAGGAATTCTAAGAGATGAGAGTGGGAAGGTTTGGATCCGGTTTTCGAAATCTATTGGAATTACGGAGTCTAATGAAGCTGAAATTTGTGCCATTAGGGAAGCTTTGTTAATCTTTTCTGCTTCAAGATGGGTGTCTAGCGTTGGCCTTATAATTGAAAACGATTCCAGGAATGCAGTTGGGTGGGTGGAACAACCATCTGAATCACCTTGGAGGTTGAGGAAGTGGGTTAATCATATCACCTTGCTTAAGAAGAACTTGCCCAATTTCATGATTAACCATGTGTTTAGAGAGGCAAATGGTGATGCAGATGAGCTGGCCAGGGGGGGGGTATTCATCGTGCAGTTCCTTTACTTGCTGTTTATGATCAATAGTTGTTGTTGGGTCTGTTCTTTTGGTCTGTGTTGTTGATACTTGGTTGCATGTTTTTGGTCTTTTGGGGTGAAAGGTCCTGTTTCTCTCCCCTGTATTCGGTTCCTCTCTTCCTTTTGCTTGCCTATTTCAATGAAATAATCTCTTACCTTTCAAATATATATATATATATATATATATATATATATATATGTATGTATGTATATATTTGACGACATGTTGACGTTTACATACGGTCAACCTCTCACTCCATGCATTCCTTACTACCATCGTGGATAATTAATTATATTTATTTATATGATATAATAGTGAACACTTTTTGTTATAATTATACAATTTCTTTTCTTTTTTGTGCTACTCATTAATAATAAACAATTATATGGCCACAAAACAAATATTAATGTGATCTAACATTCACAATAACATGAGAGAAAATTTTAAGAATGATTTGGGGTTTTCAATTCATAGGTCGTCATCAAAGCATTTTTCAAAATTATAATTTGATTTTCTTGAACAACACAGGATGAAGCAGCAACATATATTTTTTTATACAAGTCAAAGTATTAGTACCAAATATTTTGGAACAATGTGAGAAAATGAAAAGGACCCATGAACAACAAGAATGTTAATTAATTAAAATTTATATATTTGTCTAATATCTCACTGGCTGGCGTACGTAAAATAAGTTTCACCATATATTTTATAATGAACAAAATTTATAACAGCGTGTTTGATTTGGGGATCTTTGATTCCTACAGAGTAAAAGGTTAATAGTAATGAAAAATTTCTACCAAATTAGTACAAAATTTCCAGTACGTACACTCGAAAAAACATTAACCAAACCTGGAAATGTTGCACTTGTTATTGTCAATATTTTTTCATAGGGAATTAAACATATCCCTAACCAAACGCCCCCAAAATAATCCGAATATTAATTTGATTGACAGATATAATTCTATAAAATACATACACGTAGAAGGTGAAGAAGACCCATAAAAACTTCTGCATGCAAATTATGGATAGATAACCGACCAGGAATGAAACACGTGAAAATCGATTCTATCGATCTCTCTTAACATTTCACTGTCTCGTATCATATGTATGATCTTCTTTTTTTTTTTTGGTCAAGTATCATATTTATGATCTATATAATTGATTTTGCTGCTTCCGTAAGTCTCGGATTTGTTGCGGAAAAAGAAGAATAATAGAATGCCTACAAAAAGTTAGATATCCTTTAATTATTATTATGAAGGACAAAAAGTCACATAATTATAATTTGGTGTAGTCTTTGGTGCACCCATTGTGATGCATTCACTTTTCAATGTGATGCCACCAAATATCAATTCTGACCATTGGATGTAACATCTATTTTTCTTACCGTCGGATACTAAAAGGTTTAATCTGTTAAACCGGTTTTAAAAACCTTTTGGAATGAATTCGTATGAGGTAGTTCTCGTGATAAATTTTTACACCTTTTTTTATTCAAACCGTTGATATCAATTACATTTTTTTACTTAATTTATTATTTTTTCTCTAACTTTTTTACGTTGTATTTTTTTTATCCATTTCTTTTCTTCTTCATTGTAAAAAAATACATCATAAAAAAGTTAGAGAAAAAAATAATAATTCAAGTAAAAAATGTAGTTGATATCAACGGTTGGAATAAAAAAGGTGTAAAAATCTATAACGAGAACTACCTCATACGAATTCTTTCTAAAAGGTTTTTAAATCGGGTTTAGCATGTTAAATCTTTTAATATCCGACGGTTAGAAAAATAGATGTTGCATCCAGTGATTAGAATTAAATGGATGCATCACATTGAAAAGTGGGTGCATTACAACGGGTATACCGAGTTGTTCGACCTCATAAAAATCGTAGATTACGCAATAACCTTTTAACCAACACTTACAACACTTCAATCGAACACGTGGATGAAAATTATATGATATTAGATAGTCCGTCAACCGAAACCACCAAATTTCGGAAGCATTTTTCGAGAACTGAAACCTCAAAAAATTGTCTTTTGAGTCTTTAATGAAAGTTGTAAATCACCAAATTACCTTTCGATAAACACTTGAATCATCTTGATGGGGACAAACATAACAAAAGATAAAAGAATTAAAGCCGAAGCGTTGAATCATCCAACCCATAATCGTAAATGATTAAATAGCATAAACCATAAAAGTATGAGAGTCATCAGATAAATAATCCAACAAAAAAAATATTTGTTTATAAAGACCAAACAAAAAAATTAACTCTTGAACCATCCACGAAACTCATTAATCAAATTCAGATTTCAGACCCTTAACGAAAGTCGTAGATCACACAATGACCTTTTAACCGACACTTGAACAACCTCAATGGGACAAGTGGACCGAAAATTATATGATATTCGATAGACCAGCAATCGAGACCACAAAATTTCAGAAGCATTTTTTAGAATCAAAACATTAAAATTGGCTTTTGAATCCTCATGAAAGTTGTAAATCATTAAATTACCTTTAAATAAACACTTAAATCACCTTGATCGGACCAACAGAACAAAAACTAAAACAATTAAAGCTGAAACGTTAAATCGTCCAACCCAAAATTTGTGAAGGATTGAATAACATAAAGCATAAAAGTATAGGGATCATTTGCTAAATATTCCAGCAAAATAAAAATAGTTTTTTTAGAGTGGAACCCACCAATAGTAACTTTTAAACAAAGTTCCCAAAATGCCCTTAGTTATCAACCTAAATAGCAAAAAACCGAGTATGAAAGTATTTAAATATCCCTGACAATTTATTTTTGGATGAATGTGGTGCATCTTATAACTGGACAAAAGTAATTACATTTTCAATTTTAATAGATGTTATATGTTATAGATGTATTGCTATTGTCCTTTAATTTCTTGTTCATTAATTTGGAATATATAAGGATTTTCATTATCTGACACATTAGCACTTCTTCTTATAGCTTTTTGACAAACCCAACAAAGTTTAATTTCTTTATATCTATGAACATTATATTACGTACCCCCTTTTTTTTTTCTCAGTTCCCTTTGAAACAGTGTAAACACTAAACACAAAATTTTCAGTATATGAACAATTTAATGGTTATCACGTTAAAGAAGGAGCTATCTGATAGACTTTTTCTTTATCTTTTTATCCGATCCCTAATATACCTAATCAATAAATATTCAAACCTTGAAGGTTCTAATATTTTCCAGATTTATGACTTTCTAAATTCATATAATTAAAGCTAGTCTTACCTATATAATAATTCTCATGACTAATTTTCAATAATATAAAAAATTTGCGTCTGCTTCCATTTCAGATTACTTCATTTAATTTTACATAGTTTAATTTTCAGTACTAGTACATGTTTTGGCTTTGAGTTGACCAAGCTAGGGAAAAGAAAAATTAATGAGAACTATATAAAAGTACTATAATCTTGTGGGTGGGAAACTGTAGAGATATTTCCCATGATTTCACAACAAAAATTTTGTCAAACAGTACTGTTTAAGTGGTGGCTGCAGGACCAACATCTAATTAATTACTATATTGGAGTAAATCTGATGATGAAATCCAATATACTTATAATATTAATATTTGGAGTTACCTAAATCATGGTTCTCTTGTATTAAGATTCCGACCGGGAACATCATTAACTTAATGCTAATTATTATTAAATTTAAAAAAATGGGTTTTGAAACATTCAAAGCCGATATATATGTGGGATCGCATATATTAAGACTTTTTACTGAGTGGTGAGTTGAGTAAATTTTCTCATTTTGAAGGTGACCCTCCTGATCTTCCTTTTGATTTTTTGTCTGAGATTGTCAATTTTAATTAATATTATATATATTATTATAATTATATTTTTTCTTTCTCTAGGTTC